GTCACATGTTTTCAGACTTGCTAGGAAGGAGCAGAGCTAGATAAGGTGGTGCAGAGCATGAGTACTAATGGAGAAATGGTCCAAGGACCAGGGGAGGCTCTGAACCTGCCTCGTCTGTGTTTCTTATAGGTTAAATGCATTCCTACCTAGGCGAATCCTGTAATCCATCACATGTTTCCCTCAAGCTCTGCCTCTGTTCAGGTCCCAATTACCTGGCAAGAGTCAGCCAGCTCAAAGCCTCTGCTATCAGACCCCTTCAGGTCCAAAATGACTCTTTTCTATTCTTAACTAACTCCCTATTAGTCACAGGCATGCCAATATCCAAAACGTTATCAGCTCTTTTAGTATTGTCTTTATTCTTCTTGTTGCTATTATTGTCGCTGCTACTTAGATTGACTTACATTAATGATTTGCATGATGAATTCATGAGGACAGTCTGTGACTGCCTTATGTTTCTGGTATTGATCGATATCTGGTCCAATCATTTCTACATAGCACTACTCACTACATATATGCTGGTTTGATGCTTTATCTGGCAATCACAATTTTGCAATACCTGATAGAGACTGATTATTTTCTGTTCATGCTTGTATTTTTTTATTGAAGACCTTCTAGGAGAAGACTTGGTAGACGTACAAGAATACTTATGGGCAGGAAGCCATCCTGGCATACAAAATTGAACATGGACTTTGGAGTCACAAAGGTCTAGGTTTCACCTCTGGTTCTGCTCCACACTAGCTTTGTGACCCTGGACAATTAACATAAACTGTAAAAGCTTCCTTCATTTTGCCCATAAATCTAGAAAGGGACCATAAATATGTCTCCCAGGATTGTTAACACAATTCAATAAAGTACATAAACCACTTAGCAGAGTTCTTGGCATATCGAAAACTCTCAACAAATGTTAGTTTCTTCCATTCTCTATTCAATCTTATAGTCTTTGAGATAAATCAAACCAATTCTGAAGGTGAGACTTTTCTAGGCCACAGCATTTTACTTCTCTGTATAAATGTATCAATTCAAGGAACTTTCCAACAGGTTGAGCTCTGTTTACCTGGCATGAGTGCTGCCTACATCTCGCAATATCTACATCTCACGAGAGTTGCTTCCCTATTGAATCAAAAATGTTTATTAAACAATACAGAGTAAACAGGAGTTAGGGATGGGGAGTGGGAGAGACTGTATACCCCCAGCATCTGTATACATCATGAAATTCCTTGCATTAACAAATCTCTATGTCATAAGTAGGTGCAATTACAGATATTGTGTGATTCTAGCTTTCATTAGCATATTAGCTGAAGTACTTTATTTCTGAAGAGCCTGTTAGTAGCTAAAGATTTGGCAGTAATCGAAATGGTAGTTAAGCTGATAAGGATAGAGCCTTCGGCAGATGTTCAGAAGGACTCACATTGGTTCTAATAAGGATGTTGAGAGAAGCTCACAGACAAATACACTCTGGAGACATCGCCTCTCATTAGCCCTTGGCAAGTGAAAACTGGACAAGGATCTACTCTCCCTTCTAAATCTCTTGCTAACTACCTCCACTCCCCTCAGCTAATGAGCTTATTTGACAGGCTCCAACTGCCAGCACAGCCCTTCAAAGGGGGACATCTCAAGTTTCTCTGCCAGCCCCAGTCTTACTCCCAACTAAGCCTATGGTTGCCAAGGGCCCTTACCTTCATGACTACATGGAAGAGAGCATTGGTTCTGATTAGTCAGATCTGGGTAACCAAGTCCTGCTTAAGAACAAAAGAAGTCTTAGTAGAAGTTTGTGGCAAATGGAACCATGCAAAAAGAATAATGAGGCTGAAAACATTGAAGAGAACCCTTCTAGAAAATTGTACATGAGCTGTGGACATTTGGGCAGTTCGGGACATCAAAGAACAAAATCCTGTACTTCTACACTGAAAAGGGATCAGGTTGTCCATTGAAAGTAATACCTCTTCTGTCTTGCTGGGAATAGAAGATTTCTCTGGTGTGATTTATCAAAAGAGGCGGTGTCCTAGCCCTAGCTTCCCGAGACCATAATGTAATGTGCATAAACTCTTTTAGCTGGTGCTCTGGATGGGATCATGCTCTAAAACAGGTTGCTGCAAAGTTGATTGGCCCTTGGAGACTTTGGACTGGCAGCGTAAAACCCACTAAGCTCTTGCAAACAGCCAAGTTCCCTAAACTCTTCTGTATAAAGAGAGAGGATGAAGGCAAGAAAATGACATTTGCTAAATTCCTACTGCATTCTAAGTCTTATGCCCGGTGTTAGAATATCTTTAGGGAAACTCATGTTTCAATAGGAGAGAAGGATGTATTGTCCAATGATTCCTACAATGTGAAATATGCTATAACAGAGGCTCATGTACAATGCGGCCACAGCCACAATGTGGGCCTAAGTCTGTTTGGGAACATCATACTCTGTGGAAGATACAAATTATTTTTTCTCCAATTTTACAGGTGAATAAACTGAGGCTCAGATAGGTTAAGTGAGTACTCAAGGCTTAACGATCACCAAAGGCAAAGCCGTCTGGCTCCAGGATCTGCATTCCTTTAATGGTGTATCTCTGCTTTTCCTGAAAGCAGGAGGATCAGAAAGAGGTTAAACCAGACCAATGCTTCCCAAGCCCAGGCCATCTTCATGTCAACAAAGCATCAAGAACAAGAATGCTGTGGTGACATGTAGATTCTCCTGATTTAAGGCTCATCCTAAGCAATGATATTCATGAAATGAAGATTTCTATGGGCTACCATGTATTTTTTCATTATAAGGCATTAAAACTAATTCTTATCTATATTAATATAAAATGCTGGTTCACTCTCTACTTGAAATTATCTCCTGTGCTCCTGTGGACAGCCTAGCCTACTTTGTGAGGGGCTGGCTGTGATGACTTAACAGGCTTTTCCTATTCCTGAAATCTCAGAACTTTTGGGGAAGTCAGTGAGGAGCAGATTCTCATATGATTGTTTCCAGGGTACCCAAAGAAACCAGAAAGTTGACCTGGATTTTGGAACTTAAAGGCTCTTGCCATTTTGAATCAACTCAATTTTGGCTTAATGTGAAGAGATATCAAAGAAGGAAGGATGAAACATTTTGGTGCTCAGCATAGCTAACTCTACGTTCTCCTGCCATACTAGCCTTAATTCCAAATAGAAGTCCAAATCTCTATGCAGGTGGTATATGAGAAAATATCTCCCACTGTGTTTCATAAGTGATTTATACAAAAGCCTTGGTTTCAGCTAGATTCTTGAAATTGTTTTTCTCCTCCAATAAATACCAGCTAATTGGTAAAGAACCCATGTGAACAAACTAGGAACTGAAACAAATGAATAGTCATTAAGATTAACACATAGTTTTCATTAATTTGCTGCTGTTGAATGGAATCCAGTGTGGTAGAAAGGCCTCTTGTGGTGCACAGCTTCTCTTTCTCCAGTGCCGATCTTTATGAAATGCTTCATGGACTGGAAGGCCTCTCATTATGAGAAGAAGGAAGGGGACAGTGCAAGGCAGTGGTGGGGAAGCTGACTGGAGTGGGATGAAAGGGACCATAGAAGACTGGCCTTCCATCACAGCTTCCTTTGACCTTTCATTAAATGACCTTACTTACACTTCACAGGATGAGCAGAACCACATGGACCTCTTTGGCTGGTCCTTTCTGTGCTGATCAGTCCAGAAAATTCTGCTCAGACTTCTGAATTTCACAAACCAGTGACCTTTTTTTGTTTGTTTTTTCGTTTTGTTGTTGTTTTTGAGATGGAGTCTTTGAGACTTCTGAATTTCACAAACCAGTAAACGTTTTCTTGTTTGTTTGTTTTGTTTTTGTTTTTGTTTTGAGATGGAGTCTTGCTCTGTCTCCCAGGTTGGAGTGTAGTGGCGCAATCTTGGCTTACTGTAACCTCTGCCTCCCGGGTTCAAGCGATTCTCCTGCCTCAGCCTCCCGAGTAGCTAGGATTAGAGGCACCCACCACCACCCCTAGCTAATTTTTGTGTTTTTAGTAGAGATGGGCTTTCACCATGTTGCCCAGGCTGGTCTTGACCTCCTGACCTCAGGTGATCGGCCCACCTCAGCCTCCCAAAGTGCTAGGATTACAGGCATGAGCCACTGCGCCTGGCCCAGTAAACTTTTAAAACTAAGTAGTGTGGAACCCAACATAGGAACAGCAACTTTTAATTTTGCTTTATAAGGATGCATTTTTAAAAACCTTCTAACGTCTCTAAAATTTCAAAAAAGGATATTTTAATCCCCAAAAGAAGGAAAAATGATCTCAAAATAAAGAACAGCTTTTAAAAGTGTAGGCATACAGCTGTATGAAAAACTCAGTACATTTTCCATATTTTCTCATTTTGCTTTGAACTGTGTGAATGTCATCACCTCCTGGTACAGTACTGACATTTGGAAATGGCATGTCCAGAGCCTGAGCTCAATATTTCCCTGGATGTAGTAAAATGCTTTTAAGTTTGACTTCCTGAGGCTTACTAGTTCTTTTCAAAAGGAAAATAAAGGAGCAAGTATTGATGGGAAAGGAAAAGCCGACATTTAGTTCCTCTGGATTAAGCATTATTAAATATGTCTTATTACATTGTCACAGTAACCCTTTATAATAATTGTTACTGTCCTCATTTTATATTGAGAAGATTCAGGTGTGAATGTGTCTTCTGGCCCAACACAGATTAGGTGAGTGGCAGAACCATGGGTGCAAAGCAATTGGATACTTTCCATCCCACCACGCCGCAAGTTTAGGAGTGGACCTTAGAGAAGAGGATGAAGGTTGCTTCTGACTCCCAGGTGGTGCATCCCTTTGTAACCAGAATTGTGTCCTCATTGAGCATCTCTAAGAAGGCCAGAGAAGGCCACTCAGCTCCCTCTCTGGGACAGCACTTTTAATAGTTAGCTTTGCAGACACTAAGAGGTTTCTGGGCTGCCATGCTCCTTTGTACTATGTCTATCTGCAAGGTTGCCTAGTGTTTTAATTAGAGGCACTTAATTGCAGATCTGTCCTTTGTTTTGCAGGTGTGACATTGCTCAGGGACGAGAAACCCAAAGCGATCGTGGAAGATGACGAAAAGGATGGTGACAAGATAGCTATTTAAAAATAGTTCCCCTGAGACCACTTGTAAATAGGTTAGATTGGTTCCCTATGGTGACCTAGAGAAAAAAATAGACTCATTTCTGCTCTCATTTTTGTCATAGTCTGATTTTAAGATTCAGACACCTTCTCCCCAGGAGATGTATAACATCAGATTGCCAGTCACCTCTTTGTCTCTCTCTTCTTTCTGAATGTGATTTCTATTCCATGTTTTGAATTTTTATTTTCCAATGCAGTGGAAAAGAAACAGATCATTTTAAATGAGGAGGTAACAGGGAAAGCACTGACGTTCAGTTTCTGCATCTTCTGGATCAATTCATGAAGCAAAGATCATGGATTACATAGGATCCTTCTTGGTTTTTGCTGCTGGTTAGGACTTGACTTGGCATTATCCAAGCACCAGTACAAGTGGGGTTTCCAATCGCAAGTGAGAGAGGTGAGAATGTTTGGACTCTAACTCACCGATTGCTTTGGAGAACAAGGTCTTTCATTTCTCCTGTACAGTCCAACTGTCTCTGATATTCCTAAGATCCTTGTCACAGATACTCTAAATGTGAATTTATGAGCTGAGGGAGTCAACCCAGCCTACCATGCCTTGGCTGATGATACCAGCGGAAGAGAGTGCTGATCTGTCTAGGAAGCTTAGCAATATATCTTCAAATTTATTTTTGTTTTTTAAAATATTTCTTAAACATGCTGTCCCAACATTTGTGAGTCGTGTCACAAGTGAGTCATTACCAATGATAGATAACATACCAATGTCTGTGATGAATTTGCTTTAAAAAGTTAAGGTCAATTGAAAGCCATTCTGTTATTTTTAGCTTTCTCACTTATTTAGACTCCAATACACTTTCTTGGACGAGAGGGTAGAATGTGGTGTTAGCTAGTGAGCAGAGGTCTGTATATTGTCCTTGCCTCAGCCTGCAATCTGTGGATGCCCAGGGGAAGGCACACAGGCCTCGTCCACCGGGCAATAGACAGGTGGGAGGTGAGAACTATTATTAGAAGGAGGAAAAGTAGATATTCAAATCATCACACCTAAGAGTGATGATTTGATGGCTCTGTATGTATGCTGGCTCCAACTATCTAATCCCTTCTGTCTTTCTGTTCTCACAAAGATGGAAAAGATGCAAGACCTTGCCAGAAATAAAGATACATCATCCACATCTCTGTCCTGGTGCATTTTTCCTAAAAATACCCAGTTTATTCACAATTATTAAGAGCAGAGGTTGCAAAAGAGACTCACAAAGTTTTGTTTTGTTTTGCTTTTGTTTTTGTTTGACCTGCAGAAATTTTAAAATGTTTGAATTTGCTGTTAATATTTAACAATCCAGTCAGGAGAAGTGATGTAAAATTCTGAATTTTCAGATTCTCTTGGAAAAATATCTCAAGAGCTCTCAATGGGCCTGATTAGAATCATGGCAGCATCAGCTGGAACTGAGTCCTGGATGCCCATTTTAGAAGGAGCATCATCCCCGTTTACCATTTGCCCCACCTGGAGAATATCATCCACTGACTCAAGTTTGGAGTCCCCTTAGTGAAGATGCATCTTGTGTTCCTAATGATCTCGCCTTTTTAATTCCAGTGATCTATGCCCTACTTCTCTTACTTCTGATGCCCCAACCACAGCTTTGGGCAGAGGGGAATAAAATTGTGGCCGGTATGCTGGTTGAGGTGAAGGAAGGCACCATAAAGTCTTTACAAAACCAAAAGCAATTACAGGTCCATGGATAATAGGACAGTATCACCAACAACAGCAATGTTTACCAAGGGATCTTTACTCAGAAAACACAGTCTCCCTCATCCTATCAGATTTGCTGTATGAACACAGTGTACACCTGCAGCCATGTTTGCGAGATGCTTGATTATCCCTGAGGCTACTTGTCATCATTACTGACTTCCTGGGTTAAGGTGGAAAGCAGATCGGCTGTGCAGAAACAAAAGCCTTAGGTCTAGCTTCAACTATGTGATGCCAAGCAAGTCCCTGGAAAATCTCTGAGTCTGGTTCTTTATCTTGAAAATGAGGATAATAATTCTTACTTTGCCTTGTTCATAATTTGAAAATTATGTAGGATAATGGATGGCAAAGTTTCCTTAAGCTAAAGTGCGCTATCCAACTGTAACATAGGATAATTTAAAGACACCTTCAGAGTTTAGACCGTGTCATTTCTATTGCCAAGTCCCCATTGCCTGAGTATTGAGTGGGTGGCAATTATGGGAATCAACTCACAGCATCTGAAAGACTTCAAGTAGGGGGATCCCATCAATTATATGGCCTTAACTGAGAGAATAGCCTTTGCAATAAACAGAGTCCCAGTCTTAAAAGAGCATAAACAGAATGGTGAGAGGCAAAGCCAGCCAAAACACAACCAAACCTGGATATCACTGGATGACTTGGGTGCAAGCCAAACCTCCCTCACTTTCTTTGTCCGCTGAGACTTTTTCTGACCAGATAAAGTAGAATTTTAAGATTAACATTGTATTTCAATTAAAATCATTCTCAGTGCAGTGTGAACAACTTCCCTTCAAATGAATAATAGTTATATTAAGAAATTAATGGAGCCAGGTGCCGTGGCTCATTCCTGTAATCCCAGCACTTTGGAAGGTCAAGGTGGGAGGATCACTTGAACTCAGGAGTTCCAGACTGGCCTGGACAACATAGGGAGACCACAGCTCTACAAAATATTTAAAATAAACTGGGCATGGTGGTGTACACCTATAGTCTCAGCTACTCAGGAGGCGGAGGTAGGAGGATTTCGTGAGTTTAGGAGGTTGAGGCTACAGTAAGCTGTGATTGTACCACTGAATTCCATCCTGGGCGACAGAGTGTGAGACTCTGTCTCAGAAAAAAAAAAAAAAAAAAAAAAAAAGAAAAGAAAAAGTAAAGAAATTAAAAGCATTACAGGGTAGCCCATTCAGAAAGAAGGCTCAAATTAAGAGGCGTTTTTAAGGGAACCAGCAAAGCAGTTGGCCATTTATTCATTCTGAAGGCATCTACCAGGATGCCAGGCTACCTGAGATGAGGAGGCCCTAAATGTGAGAGACTTAGCACTCTTTTAAAAGCTTCACACAAAGCCTTTCTTTAAATCCTGACACCCTTTAAAAGCAGTTGGCTGAGATCACACAGCCAACTTCTAATGCCTAATTATCACTTGGAAAGGCAGAGGCTGGTGCTGAAGGACTGGGGAAGAACCAGAAAGGACTCATGCAGTGTTTCCTTTTAAATGCAATTAAGTGAATCTTCCCTGTGCTGTCCAGGTTGTTTTCTTAAAACAAGGACAGTCTGAGATACCATGTGGTTGTGAAAATAAGTAGTAAAGCAATTATTTTTGCTAGTGGAGAATAAGAGGCTGGTTACATGGTGGATTTTATAGAATCCCTGTCATCCTGTGTAAATGAGCCTCCCTTGCCACTTGTAATTTGTAAGTGTGAAAGTGTTACTCAAAAATCTCCCCAAGGCAGGCAGTGAATGCACAGGAGATGCATGAACTGAGAATATACTCCGCCAGTTTTCCTGGACATGGAATTGCCTTTGAATTTGCTTTAATATACAATGTCTGCAGAGTTTCAGAACATTATTATGGCGTTAAATCTTGGCCCGAAAATCAGGGCAGAAGACTCTGCACAAGTAAATGTACTTATGGGGAAAACAATGTGTTATTTGAAATCAGCTCTGCCCTGGACACTCCAAGCTATCAGTTTACTTTCCTCAAGAAGAAAAGGATGGGTGTATCCTCACCTTCAATAGCACGTCCTTCCAGCAAGGTGTGGCTCCTCAAAGGAAATTGCAGAAGACTTTCTGAGAAGGAACAACAAAAAATAGAAGATAATTTTGCTTATCCTGGAAAATGTGGCTGTTCCATCTGATGTCAAATATGTATTTTGAGTGTGTAACAAAGAGTATAATATAGAGCCTCATGTTCTTATAATTATGTGTTAGGGTTCCAGAAAAATAATCTACACTTTAATATCTATCAATCAAATCATATGTCTTTTATTTAAAGGCACCACTTAATGTATTTCAGAAAAGGAAGATTGTGCTCGGAGCCCTTGCATTTGCTCAGTCTTTTTCCTATTTCGTTTCATTTGATCCTCACATTTAATCATGAAAAAAACTAAGTACTCAGGAAGCTGAGATGAAGAGGAAGCCAGGAAGAAACTCAGGTCTCTGAACGCCTAGCCCAGTGCTGTTTATATAGTGTGGAACTATTCTGAAAATAGGGTCCAAAATACACAGTACGTTAAAGAAGGAGATCATTCCATGATCCAGAAAAGAGCAAATTATACAAGTGCTTTCTGATGGTTTTCTCTACTCTCTCTCTCAATTTTTAAATGAGTAAGTATATTAATATATTCAACTTTCCAGTACTCAAAATTTAACCATTGCTCTCAATTCTATGTTTTAAGGAGATGATAAAGTGATTTTTGTCTCCCCCCCACCCCACTAGATCCTCCATATTATCCATTCTCTACGTTGCAATTAAAGTGACCCTTTTTGAACAAATCTGAGCAGGTGGGACCCCTCCTTAACATATTCTCCTTGCTTAGAATAAAGGTAGAGATCTCAAGCCTGTTCTCCCTGACCCTCCTATGGACTCCAGTGACATTAGCTTCTGCCATGGCTGGGTATCCTCATTGCCCTTCCTTCCTACCCATCAATCAAAAAAATCAACAGTGAGTGAGTGAGTGAATTAATTAATTAATTAATTAATAAAAAGACTTTATAAGAAGCCAAGCCTAACTGCCTAAGGTTGTCTGATCATTTGCTGAATTGCTAAAACACAAGGTTACTTACTCCTGCAATAGACTAGATAGTCACTATGGGGCTGAACACAAATGTCAGCCACAGCAAGCTGGTCTGCTTCCTATAGCTCCTGGTTCCTTTATGGCACGAGGGAGCCCTCCCAATATGCAGCCCACCCCCCCTAAAAACAGTTTCCTGTCAATCAAATTCTCCTACTCTCAGGATCAGTAGAGGCAGAGATGGCAGGGGTCAGCTGCTTGCCCACTTGAGAGCTCTGGTGTCATGGCTTCAGAATGCTATGGCCAGCTGTATTAGTCCATTTTCATGCTGCTGATGATAACATACCTGAGACTGGGAAGAAAAAGAGGTTAAATGGACATACAGTTCCATGTAGCTGGGGAGGCCTGACAATTATGTTGGAAGGCAAGGAGGAGCAAGTTCCATTTTACACGGATGGCAGCGGGCAAAGAGAAAGACTTTTTAAAACCATCAGATCTTGTGAGACTTAATCATTGTCATGAGAACAGCATGGGGAGGACCTGCCCCCATGATTCAGTTACCTCCCACTGGGTTCCTCCCACAACATGTGGGAATTCAAAATGAGATTTGGGTGGGGACACAGCCAAGCCATATCATTCTGCCCCTGGCACCTCCCACATCTCATGTCCTCACATTTCAAAACAATCATGCCTTCCCAACAGTCTCCCAAAGTCTTGGCTCATTTCTACATTAACTCAAAAGTCCACAGTCCAAAGTCTAATCTGAGACAAGGCAAGTCACTTCTGCCTACAACCCTGTAAAATCAAAAGCAAGCTAGTTACTTCCTAGATACAATAGGGGTACAGGCATTGGGTAAATACAGCTACTCTGAATGTAAGAAATTGGCCAAAACAAAAAGGCTACAAGGCCCATGCAAGTCTGAAGTCCAGCAATCTTGATTGTTGAGATCCCTTGCTTCTAATATTTCTTTAATAACCTAACAGAAATGTTTTGAAAAGAATGCTTCCTGAAGGTAGCCTGGATTTCTCTCCTCCCTGAACACTCTATGACTCCCAGCCATTCCCAGTACTTGAGAAGGGCCATGCAGGTGAGGACTCCTTAAGTTGTGAGGCTTAAGCTTCACTAACTTCCAGGAAAATCTGCCCCTAGCTGGCCCTAAAAGTCAAACAGCTGCCTGTCCTGTGAGGGGAAAGGGGCTGCTCTGAGCCTGAGCAAGTTGACACTTGTTTCCTTCATTCTTTCAGAAAATTCTTAAATGGAATTTTTTCAGCTTTCACAGTGCAGTCTATGTTGTCCTTCAACACCTAGCAACTGAGTACAACTCTTATCATCCTGGTCAACGCTGTTACAATGTCTTGGTGCCATGTTCTCACAAGTTCCAGAACACAAAGATCTTTTCTTGACACAATCCCTCCATATTCT